TAAGAGCTGCACTGGAAATGCGGGCGGTTCTCAGTGCTTACAACCAGTCCCTGGAGGCCATGGTGCCATGGAATGCCGCAACGTGCAGTTTTCATGCTCGTCTTTGGATTAGTCCAGGAGGATCGCCAACACTTCTCCATCGAGCTGTGCGATCCTCAGTGTCCCAAAACTCATCCCACTGAGATCGCAAGGCTCTTTCAAGGCACCCTGCATGAACCCACGAGGAGTGGCATCGGCCTGCATGCTGGAAGGGGTCTCTTCGTCGATTCCCACGGAGACCTCCTTGGAGAAGTGGCTCGGGGTGCCTATTGCCTAGGCCGCTCACCAGTCACTCAGGTTGTGCTATGTTGTGCTGCTTTGGCCTGCGTCATTGTGTCACGTGTCATTGCGATGTCGTGCGCCCTTTTCGAGGCGAGGACCTTTGTGAAGATTCTTCCATCCTGGTGTCGCAGGCAGTGAGGTCCAAGCTTCTGGCCTCTTGGAGCAGAAGCTGTGAAGATGCTTTCAGTCACGGGTAATCATGGAAACACCTCTCAGACTTAGACGGAGTTTGACGGAGTGAGCAGAATGGTGAGAGCTCCTCAGGATGAGGCCTTCTTTGCTCTTGCCGTGTTCCGAGAAGCTGGAGAAGAGCCAAACACCAAGATCAAGTACTTCATCCTGGAGGGCGACTTCGACTTACATGTCGAGGTGGTGCCTGCGGATGACCCGAGTGGCTGTTCTTGCACTTTGAAAAGATTTCTCAGAATTTGTCTCAGACATTTGCGGGATGATTCAGGATGGGTTCAGCGCCGATTCAGCGCCACCATGTGCCCCTTTCAGGCTATCTGCAGCCTTCCCTGCTCCCGCTCGCCCAAAGACATGGCGCGGGAACAGAGAGCCTGGCCAAGCTCGACGAGACCATCACACACCACTTCAGATCCTACGCGGTGCTCATGTTGCTTTGCCCAAGGGCCTTAGGGGAATCCCCATCCAATGTGTCAATATGTCCTGACCTTGCAACACGTGTTCAAGGCAGTTACTGTATGAAGAGTGAGTTGCGTATCGATGCCTTGTTCGACTGTCTTCTAAGACCCTTAGAAGCTCTAGTTTGGACACTGCAGGTTTCGAAGTGAGCCTTGCCCGCCGTACGACCAGGATGTCTCCAGGCAACAGAAACTTGCCGGCAAGTGTCATTCCTTCCCTGGTGATCTCACTCTACGAGGACGGCGCAAGAGCTGGCCACACCCATACTCCGGAGCTTTGCTGGCTGCGACCTTGAGGCCCCGCTCGCAGGAAGCCAAAGAACTGTTTGGGTTGCCAAGGGCTAAAGAGAACTTTTGGGGGATTGCAAGGCCGAGCTCTGGGTTTTCGAGCGGCCCGCTGACGCTGTCCGCGCCGCCCTCCGTGCTCGACTCTGGGCACAAATCAGACAGTACTGTCAACTCGGCACCGCACTTGCCAGAGAGCGCGCAGTTTTTGCATCACATGGGCATCGAGTGGGCCTCACGCTTGCTGCTTTGCTTTAGTTTTGGGGGCTCAAGCTGCAGAGTTTCGTTGCCTCATGCAGGGAACTCGCTGGCTATGGGTATGGCCGGTATGTTGCATGTGCGCACAAGCTGACAAAGCTGGACAAGCTGGGGAGCTGCTAGGGCAGCTCCGGCAGCTCCAGGGCAACTTACGGGGCCTCCAAGGAGGAGTGGCTCCAGCGTGCCGGCCCGGCTTTAGGGATGTGACGAATGGCAATGCCTTTGATTGGGCTTGTGCCTTTCATTGTCCCGGAGGCCCCTTTGCGACAGCTCAGTGCTCATGCGCCTGCCTCTCTGAGAGACAGAGAGAGATGCTTGGGGAACTGCAGCCTCCAGCACAATCCGCCAGGGGTTCCGATCTGCTGCTGACAACCACCCCAGAGCCTAGCAGAGAGCCACCCGATCCAGTGATAGAGGCTCCTGTTGGTGACTTGGGCGAGTCCGAGCAAGATTCACGGAGGTTTGTGCGCGTCAACGAGTTTTTCGCTCAAGAACAGCAGACAACAACCTCCCAGCCTGAAGTGGAAAGGGACGGGAGCTTCGGAGAACTTGTGATTCTGTCCTGCGCAATCGTTTCACTGGCTGGCTCTGCTGCCATAGTGGCTGTGGCCACGTGGGGTGGGTTTCGCAAGGTCCAGAAGGGCCCCAAAATCCCAAAGAGGCAGGCCTGGGCTGATCCGCCACGCGAGCACCCAATGAGCCTTCCCGACGAGAAATGCCCGGAGCCGGAGCCTCTAAGCATTGAGGCCCTTGAGCCTCCAGCATCTTCTACAGGTTCTACAGGCGCTTCCACAACAGGCAAGGACAAGCCAACCATCCTAGAGCTTGAGCTGGAGCCGAGTAGCATCATCACCAAAAAGTGTGATGCGGAAGGCCCCAGCTTGGCTGAGGCCGCTCAGGCCAGTCCAGTTTTCGAAAACGAGCATTCACGGGGCGTGCAGAAACCCTTCCTTCCAGCAATAAAGATCTCTCGAGTTCAGCCCGTTTCCTAGACAAGCACTGTCGCCGCCACCTCGTGTCCTGTTCAGGTTTCCTCTAGTCATCTCTAGTCATCCATTGCGCAAAGTGTGACACTTGCGCTTTTTTTGGCAGAATTATTTTCCTGGGATTCATTTAACAACAGGCATGTTCTGTTTCCTTTTGCGGCATGTTTCCGGCCAACTTTCTTGAGCCAGGGCTCTCCCCTGTCCTGTCAGACAAGTCTGTCCAGGCATGCTGTTTCACTGTCATTTTCAATTGCATGGCACGCACCAGCAGTCCTGGCCCCCTGCGCTGGGGCTGCACTGGCGCACAGTGATTATTTCATCATTTTTGCAGTCTTAGCTTAGCTTTAGATGACCTTCTACGTGCGGCTGGAGTGGCTTGACCAGCTGCGCGCGCAAGGCGCAGATCTCCCAGAGTCTCAAAACCCAAAGCAGTGACGAGCAGAGATGTCCAGAAAAAGAAGTGTTGGGACTTTGTTGTTGCCGTTCAGGGGCAGTGAGGCCTGAAGAAGCAAGAGATGTCGAGCAACAAGCCGACTTCCGAGGAGATGCCTGTCGCGCGGCCGATGTCAAGATGCAAGGGTGGGGTGTGGACGTCGGAGACTTGCTTGTCATCCCCGGCACCGATGTCCATTGGGGCGACGCTGTGAATACTGCAAGCAAGCTCGGCCAGGACGACGAGTTGCTGTCTGACTAGAATTCGTTAGCTGCTTCACAGTCGTGTAAAGATCGATTTGGGATCGGATTGTTGACTTTGTTGTCGCTGTGTCCAGGACTTGGCAACCGAAGGCAGCATCCTTATCACCTCCAGAGTAAGAGATGCATGTCGTGGCGACGAGATCCTGATGCAGCTTCAGACCCTGGTCGCATTGCCAGTGGTCGTTCAGGGCATTTCCTGGATTAGGACGTTGCCAAAGAAAGAAGCATGAACCCATTCATTGAAATTGAAACCCTTGCCAGCCCTGCAGAGGGAAATTCACAGATCATTGGATTGATGGGCTCCTCATAAAGAAGCACACAACCTCGATTGCTTGAAATCCCTGCCAGGGATGAATCTAGGGGCTTTTCCAAAGCACGAAACGACGGGCCAGAAGACATTGTCATTGTAGAGTTGTAAGTTTCGGGTCATAGTAGGCTATGAAGGGTTCGGTCGTGATAGAGGTTCGGTCTCTAACCGCAGTTCACATAATTCGGTGCCGGATCTTGGTCACAGCGCCCGCTTAGCTGAGCATCCTTTGGCCTTGCGTGAATCCCGGATGACACCTTGGACTCATGCGACATGCTTTGGTCTCGTGAAATTGTCTCGTTTGTGCAGTAGTCTCTCCGGAGTGCACGTGACGCGCCGAGGATGGAAGCGTTGCAGCTCTGCCTTTCCGGGGTGACCTTTGAGTGCTTCCGAGTTTCGAACAGCTGACGCAGGGCCAAAGTGGTGTAAACGCTGGCTGTGTCTGTGCATGCATGTACTCTAATTGACAGACTTGTTCCATTAAGGCTTACAGACTCGTTCTATTAGCCCAGAATGCCGAGGCCTGAAGAACAGGCAAATGCGAGTGAGCCGCAGGACGCTTTTCTGCACAATTGCAGTGTTGATGGTCGGCAGGGCTTGGTGACATGCTGCACGTGGTGAAAAATGGACAAGTCTCCCGGACGCCTTCCCCCAGGGACAGCGGCGTGGCAGCAGCGTCGGCAGCGCCACCCGGACCAGACGCAGTGCGCAGCAAGGCGTCACTGGCTTTGGCCGGCATGGCAGTAGCCGGATGTAGCCGGTCAGTTGGTGCAGCACAGTTGCAGTTGTTGCTCTTGGTTTTGTGGGCTGTCATGAACAGCTGAAAATGCGTCAGATGCACATGCAGGTGCAAAGAGTCAGTGTCATGCTGCCACGGCAACGAGTTGGAACGACTTCGCCACCGTTTCTCCACAGGACAGGAATCAAGATCTTGTCGGTGCTCACAGTGATCCCATGTGTGACTTCTGAGTTTTGGGCAAGCGGCAAGAGGTGCTTCTCGACCGCCTCTCCCAAGGCATGCAAAAGGGTCGCTTGCTGAGAGGTGGTGCAGACTGGGTGCAGATTTTTCATTCGCAGCTTGACTGGTTTCACTGGTGTCAACTTGCAGTAGTCGTATGAGGTCCTGTGAGGTAGGCGCACGAGAGCTCTGCTCCTCTCGTCCCTGGAGTGACGGTCAAGTCGACAAGGTTCTTCTGAGTCTGCGTGAGTCCACAAACCCCTCGGGCCAAGTCCGAAAACGCAAAAGCCCGAGTCAGAAAACGTGCAGCCATTGAAAGATCCTTCCATAAAGCCCGCCCTGGAACTTACACTTACACCATCTTTTTTTTTTGAGAACATCCAATGCCCATAGCGCACTTGACACACCGTTTTCATGAGCCAGAACGTGCACACGGTCCACATCGCCCAAACCATATCACGCAACCCACACACAAACGCCGAACCCCAACACCAAAAAGTCTCTGGCGGTTGGGAAGGGGCCTTCTTTCATTGAGTAGGACCTGCCGATAGCATGGTAAAGGCATCTCTTCAGTACAAAAACAAACGCAAAATGTTCTTGACCAGCATAAGAACAAGCACGCAGTGGCAGCATGAGAAGAAGCACGTTCAGCATCAGAAAGCATCACTGTCCTCCCGCACCGTTGACTGAACCACACATCCACACCCACCACATCACCATATGCACTCATCGCCACACCCCACCTGTAGTTCAAGAAGAAGGTCTCTGCCGGTTGGGAAAGGGGGCGAAGGGTCCAGGGCGCACTGTTTTTGTGGTCGAGGGTGCCCTGTTTCGAGTCAGTCCCCTTGATTTTCTTTTACTCCAGCCGGGCCGGCCCTGCAATGCAAGTTTGGTGCAGGGCGCTGCTTTCGTGGTCGTGCGTTGTGTTTTCTGGTGCTTGCGTATTGTCGTAGAAACATGAGGCCAGGAAAAATGGGCGACATCACTGCCTAACAGCTCCAAACCTGAAGGCGGCTTAAACCATGCAAAGGTACTGGTATGGGAAAGCAAGCATAGCCGACGGCCTGCAGCACAAAAGAACATGTTGGGTCGCTAGGTCTCGTGGGCATTTCACTTGTTTGTTGCGGAACAGCCACTGCGGCAGAGCGTAATTCGAACAACTGACACCATCACTGCCCACAGCCATCACAAAGTCAAGGAAGCATTTGCAGGACCTCTGGCCTACACAGCCGTGTAGATTCTACACGGCTGTTTCATCCCACTCCGCATACACATGTGTCCTGGAGTCGACAGGAAATACCACAGTTGAGTTTACCATACTCGAAGCCTTCTACCTAGCCAGAAGCCGCCACACACACGAATCAGGTAACTGCTGAGCCACCGCTCACCAAGTGCAAACTCCGACAATGCCCTCAATGCCCTGAACAAATCGAGCGAAACTGTGAGCCTTTTTAGTATCCCGGAGGTGCAGTAGGGGCCTAAGGTCAGGTACGGGCAGGGTTAGCAGGACTGAGCACTGCTCTCGGGAAGCATGGCACCAGAAAGGTCCTCACAGCCCTCTACCGTCCCTCATGCATAATTACTTGCAACTTGTGGGCGTTTGCAAGAATGCAAGTCAGCCCAAAGCTCACAAACGTGAAGACGGGAGGGCTGCCAGCAGGATGCATAGGGCCACTCAGAAAAGTCTTGTGAGGTCGTGCCTGGTGGGATTACAAAAAGGATGCACCCTGCATGCCGAGCACTTACAACTGGGGGGCAGAGTATGACGGCATGTCCACACGAGCAGTCTCATGCAATCGCGCACAGAAGCTCAATTCGTTGTGTTGTTGTGTGAGTGAGTCCACGTTACGTCTGTGACCGAGGACGGAAGCTGTGCGCAGCAAGGGGGCGAGAAAACAACCGGATCCTCGGATGCAAAGGGTAGTTTGACTTTGTGGAATCGACGAAAACCCGTCGGTGCCCTCGCAAACCCATTTTGCGTGGGGCACAGGACAAGCTTTCCAAAGAGGAAGCACAAAAAGAGGAAGTACCGGAAGTACCTCTCAACGCACCGCGGACAGAGGTGCTGGAAAGCAGGCTCTTGGCGTCATGATACTCGTACGTCTTCACGTCTCGCAAGGGCATTGAAGCACCGCATAACCCGTCTGACCTGCAGCCCCTACCACAGAGGAATTCCCTCACTCCTTGCAGTGCAGGCGCGAGAACGAAGAAGAGACGCGGCCTTCGAACGACGCCGAGTGTGAAGAAGAGACGCGGCCTTCGAACGATGCCGAGTGTGGCCTCGGTAAGGTGGCCATGCGTCGCTGCTTCATACTGCTTTGCCTTGCAGATGTCCATTGAGCTGTGACAGGGAGAAGATGTGAGAAGCTCTTACATGAAACCAGCATAGAGCATTCGCGAGGGTTGGGGGAAAATATTTCCCTAGTTGAGCCAGGGTTCCCTAAGCTCCCATCCCTAGCGTCCTTCCGAACACGCCTTGTAACCCTCGTTCGTCTCCCTACGGCCCTACGTGGAGCGTAGGCTGGGCATGCTAACTTCACCGAGATGGTTTGGATTGTCCTCATCCTGGTCATAATTACGTAGGAGCAGGAGGCCACACCAAATGAAAGAGCAGCAACTGGATGGAGGTGCCCACTCCCCTTAGCAATTGCATACAGAGGCCACCTTTGATCAAGAATGAGGACCAAGACAGTGACGTGGAAGCTGCTTGTAAGGGCAGATACCCCTTTGTGAGCTGCACCTGCAGGCTCAAGGGTACAGCGGCAGATCAGAGGCAGGGACGGCTTACCTTTGGTGTGGGTCAGATCACAAGTAGGCGAGGGTACTTGTAGAATACATGCATGCTTCGTCACACACAGTGGTCCAGGCACCGCTGGCATGTGGCCATACTGAGGCAGAGCCTGCGACTGAAAGGCGGGGTCATCTGACTCCAAGATGGCACAGCAGTGTCCAAAGCACAATGTCGTTTGCCAGGTCAGCGGAGCTTGCTCACGGAGAAGGTCCAAACTCCACAAGTCTTGCATGTCTCGCCATATCAAGTAGTCA